ACAGAGGTTGAAGGTTGGCTGCAAGAGCAGGTCCAACTATGTTTACAATGCAAAGGTTTTGGTCTATTAGTCTTCAATTAACTGTTTGTCTTGATTTTTGGTTATTAAGTTCCAGGGTTTTTTTGGCAATTCTATAAATAGAGTTATCATCAGTGATACTTGTAATTCTTATTGTCCTGAATGCTTTTTTTCACCAGTTTTATTAAACTTGGCAATAGTTCTATTTAACCTGAAGGTAAAACACACTTCAAAACTTAACATATTAATATTAGAGTGACTTTCCATATTAAGGCCTATAATATGCTGTTTGATTTCTAGATTTATTTTTTTTCCTGCGTCAGGTTTTTAGACTTCTATTATTATTATTATTATTTTTTTTTTATTATTAATATTGTTATTATTGCTATTATTATTATTATTATTATTATTATTATTAATATTATTAACATCGTCTACTAGGCTAGCGCAGATGTATTTTCAATACATTGTTTCCAGTTTAGGATGTTGAATGCTGGATCTTCTTGACTTGATGCATGGGTTTTGCTTGTGTCTATTTTTATGACTAAGCAACTCATTTTAATATCTTCTATTGAGGGTAGAGCTCAGTTTTATAGTTCTGAGGCTGGCTGGTATCAGGTTTCCTGAACTCTGTGGTAGCACTCAGAGAGGCTGATTCCATCAACAGCTGAAAAGTATCAAAGTATTAACAGTGCCATGTTGCGCATGGATGGTGTCCCTGTTTGTACTTTTGGTGTGCATTGCAAAGGCCACATTGGAGCCCTTTGTTACGACTTAGGGTTTATTTATAGTAATGAGGTAATTGCTTGGGTTATTAAACAGTGTACTGAGCACTATCTATGCTTCAAATCAAGTTCTTTAACAAATTTTAAAATGAATAAAGTAACAAAAACTATAAAACACAAAAAACCATGGTCATCATTAAGTTCTCTAAACCTATCATTCACTAATATTCATAGTCTTTCAAGTAACTTTTCTTCTATTGAGTCTTATCTCTTGCAAAGTTCACCAGACCTATTTCACCAGCTCTTTGTGAAACTAATTTGAGTTCAGCTGTCATCTTGTGATCTTAGTGTTGATGGTTATCTTCCTTTAAATCACAAAGACTCCAATAGTCACATGCTTGGCCTAGGCATTTACATTCGTAAGAATTCACCCATTTGTCAGGAAACTAGATTTGAATCCACAGACTACTCTTTTATGTGCTTTTTTTTAGCAGCACTTTACTCTATCACCTTTCTCTTTGTTCTATATCGCTCCCCTTCATCTCAAGACTGCACTCTTCTTGATGTTAAGTCCTCTCTCTTTATTCATCAGCCAATATTGTTGTTGTCGATGACTTTAATGTTCATCACACTAAATGGCTTGGCTCTAGTGTCAGTTACTCTGCAGGCATTAAAGTCCACAATTTTTGCCTTTCTCAATCCCTAACTCAAGTAGTCAACTTTCTAACTCGCTTTAAAAACAGCCCGAATCATTCACCTTCTCTACTCAACTTATGTCTTGTTTCTGATCCTAGTCAGCGCTCAGTTTCTCCACATTGACCTTTAGGTGCTTTTGATCATTGTTAAAACTATCATCTCATTCTTCTTTATCATCAGAATCACCTTATGATTGTACCTCTTATAACTACCTTAAAGCTGACTCTTTCTGTGATTTTCTTCCTGATGGCCCATGGGTATAAATATTTTGTCTTCCTGCTGACAAATGTACTTCTAACATAACTTTGTGGATTCAGGCTGGCATGAAGTTTTTTTTTTTTATTATTATCTTTGCTTCCAACAAGGCTGCAAGCAACCATTAATTAGTGTTGGAAGTTACTGGAAGAGAAAAGATGAAGATTTTAGAGCAAGATAACGATTGACAGACGACTTAAAAGATTGCGAATTATATGAATCAGGAAAGCAAGATGAAAGAAGTGAATTTCAAAGAACTGATGTTCGAGGAAAAAAACTAGGCGAATAAGAGTTTTTGGAGCACTTAGGAACAGTAACAGAAAAAGGATGAGACTTAATTGAATGACGAGTAACACGAGAATGAATTTTAGTAGATGGTACAAGAGACGCTAGCTCTTTAGAGCAGTGCTCATTATAGTATTTGTAGAAAAGAGAAAGAGAAGCAACATTATGACGATGTGACAGAGGTTGAAGGTTGGCTGCAAGAGCAGGTCCAACTATGTTTAAAATGCATTTTTGCACCTTGTCTAAAAGAGAAAGGGCATCATTAGAAGATCCGCCCCAGATATGGCAACAGTATTCCATACAAGGCCAGATTTGAGATTTATAGATATAGAGAATAGAATCCAGAGTAAGAAAGTGACAAGCTCGATAATGAGAAGCAACTTTAGCAGATGCTAATTTTGCAATTGATTTGATATAAGGTTTCCAAGAAAGATCAGAAGTAAGAGTTAATCCTAGAAGATGAAGGGTAGGAGATTCATCGAGTATATTACCATTCATAAATATAGGATGGTCTAAATTATTGCGATAACGATTGGCTTAAAAAAATTATCTGAATAATAATTCCCTTAAAAAGATTTCAAGTCAAACCTCACTCTTTTTCTTGGTTTACCTAACATTATACACATGCAATTTCCAATTGAAACCATTACTTCCATATCTATCAGAAAAACAATTCTCTAGAAAACAGACGTTTATTTACTATTTCTAGAAACCATCGTAAAAAGGTTTTGTCTAATGCCAAAGCCCGCTATTCTCAAGTCATGAAATCTTATATTTCATCAGAATAATTAGACTTTCGTAACTTCTGGCGAATCTTTAATAGTATCAATAGTAAGAGCAAATCTGTTATTCCACTTCTCTTGTATGGTTCAGATTTTGTCACCTCACCTAAAAAAAAAGCTGATTTGTTTGCTAAGAACTTTTCATCAATATCATCTCTTGATTCCACTAGTTGCGTTCTACTTGATATAATTGTCAAACAGGTAGATCCATTGCTTGACATTCATATCACTCCAGCTTCTGTATCTAAAGTGATTTTCTGCTTTGACTCTTCTACAGCTTGTGGCCCGGACAACATACCTGTTATAGTCTTGCAGAGGTGTTCTTTGGAGCTGTTGTCTATCCTTTCAAAACTATTCAACCAATGCTTATCAGAGTCTTGTTTTCCAGACTGTTGGAAAGCAGCATCTGTTATCCCTTTTTTTTTTTAAATTCTGGGGAGCGATCTGATTTGTCTAACTACCGTCTCATTAGTTCCCAAGTTCCCAAAGGACCATCCCATTTCTTCCTATCATAAGCAAGGTTTTTGAATCTTTAATTAACAAATACTTAATCTCTCATCTTGAATCTAATAACTTACTTTCTGATCATCAATATGGATTTCAATCTTCTTGTTCTATGGCTGATTTGCTAATAGTAATAACCGATAGGTTTTATTGTGCATCAGATAAAGATGGATAGGTTAAGGCCATTGCTCTTGACATTTCTAAAGCGTTTGATAAAGTTTGGCATGCTGGTCTTCTCCATAAGCTTTCTTCTTACGGTTTATCTGGAAACATCTTTTAGATTTTTGAATCCTTCCTTTCCAATCAAAGTATAAAAGTTGTCCTTGATGGGCAGCACTTTTCTTCTTATTCTGTAACATCAGGGGTTCCTCAAGGTTCAATCCTTAGCCATATACTCTTTTTAATTTACATTAACAATCTTCCAGATATTCTCACATTTATGGTGGCATTGTTCGCTGATGATACTACCATTTATTCTTGCCATGATAAGCCAAAAACAAATACTATAATGGGCAAATACTATAATGCTCTAAAGAGCTAGTGTCTCTTGTGCCATCTACTAAAATTCATTCTTGTGTTACTTGTCATTTGATTAAGTATCATCTTCCTTCATCTTGCTTTCCTGATTCATATAATTTGCAATCTTTTAAGTCGCCTGTTAATCGTTATCTTGCTTTACAATCTTTATGTTTTCTCATCCAGTAACTTCCAACTCTAATTAGTGGTTGCTTGCAGCCACTAATTAGAGTAATTAGAGTTGGAAAATGTTTAAAAAATAAATAAATCTAGAATTAAGAAAAAATGATGAATTTAAAATACTCAATATTACTTTAAAAATTTTTTTGTAATTAATTATTTTATTAAAAAGAGTTTAATTTACTATGAAGCATTTTTTTCTGCAATATGTTTGTAAAAGCTCTTCTTGAAAGCTTTAAGGAGAGCCAGTGTGCTAAACTTATGAACAGCTTTTTTTAAAGCTTAAAATACTGGTTAAAAAAGAATGTGCTTGAACAAATTTTCTGTCTAATTTTATCAAGCTAGGTCTAATTAATTGATAACTAGAAAAAATATTTTTTAAAGAATTACAGTCTGAAAATATATATATATAGAAAAAAGTAAATTTAGTTCTCCTGCATGCTAAACTTTGTGTATACAAATATATGCATATGTATATATATAATACAATATGTATATATATAATACAAATATATATAATATATATATAATACAAATTTATGCATATATATATACATATATATATATATGTATATATATATATATATATATATATATATATATATATATATATATATATATATATATATATATATATATATATATATATATATATATATATGTATATATGTATATATATTTATATATATATATATATATATATATATATATATATATATATATATATATATATATATATATATATATATATATATATATATATATATATATATATATATATGTGTGTGTGTGTGTGTGTGTGTATTATGTTATATAAATTTACAACTTTACAAGTTTTATGCTTACTGTGACCGTCAGTTAAAAAAACATAGTTACATTTTTTATTGTAAAAAATACCTAAAATTTTAACATCTATTGTTTTAATATGATATATTATATAAAATATGTTATATGTTATATTTAAAAAAACAATTTTAAATGGAAAGAATGAGATTAAAACTGGATTATCTATTATATGTTTTTTACATTTTTTGGCAAGGTTAAATTTATCTTAAAAAGAGAAAGACGGTGCTTTGGTGGTCCAACAAATTTCACAGATTATGACGCCAATAAGTATGTGGAGTATTTGCCATTTGAATGTGAAAATTTTATTAAAATGAATGAACTGGACAAAGTTGTTCAAGTAAGTTTATTATTTTCAGATTAGTTCAACATTTTTAAGTGTGTTTTTTTTATATATTGTTTTTGGTTAATATTTATAGTTATAAAAAGTTAATTTACAAACCTAAAAAATGCTATCTTTTAGGTTTGTAAATTAATTTCATTGAACGCCATTGAGAATAAAAATAAATAAACAGTGCTGACCAAAGTTAAATGAGCCACAGGCAAAATTGAAAAAAATAAAGAAAATGAGTTGAAAGATCAAAATATTTAATGTATAAAGCAAATTTGTATTTAAAACAAATGATAATACAATAACACACTATATTCTACAGTTTTCTGTGTCCACCACCAGCTTTATATAGATCATTTACACCTTGTAGCATTGTTTCAATAAGTTTTTTCAAATACTCCTATCCCATTCCTTCCCAGGTTTTCTGCACAATTTCAAGAAGAGCAGTCTTTTTTCTATCTTTTTTCTTTCAGTCTTTGCTAGATGGTATTGCATTTTTTAACTTTTTCTTAATGTCATTCCAACATGTCTCAATGGGGGACATATCAGGAGATTGTGCAGGCCAAGGAATCCTTAGAAAATTTTTACCGAGAAAGCCATGTCTTTATAATTTTAGCTGTATGGACTGGTGCATTGTCATCTTGAAATATAAGTTTATTTTACGGAAAAGGGATAATTTTTGAAGAATCAATCATTGTTGTTTTTAATATAGAGAGATCTATATTAAAAACAACTATGTCTGTTGCTTTGATATGTCTAATTTACTGATTAAGTAGACCAGCACCATGCCAAGAAATGCATCCCCAACCATAATTGAACATCTACCATGCTTTACAGTAGGCTGTAAGCATTAATCTAAATATTTTTCACTAACTTTTTTTCGAATATTAATGCAATACTTTTAGGAGAAAAGCTCAAAAGAACTTTCATCACTAAGTAATACAAAATATCATCTATAAACTGACCACTTTATAATACGCTTTGCCCATGCAAATCTACCTTGACATTTTTTTAATGACAGAAGCGGTTTTTTAGCAACAATGCATCCTTAAAATCCATATTTTAACAAGACGAGTTAAGTTTTCCTAGCACTACATTTAACATTGTCACATGCTAGTTGTGCAAGTTAAGAAGAACTCAATTTTCTGTTGCCAAGTGATTTTATCACCAAAGCCCTCTCATTTTTTGCTGTTATTTTTTTGGGCAGCTTTGGCCAACTTTCTGAAACATGCCACCAGTCTCCTTCCACTTTTTCAAAACATCACTCACAGTGTTTCTAGCTACTTTAAGATTTACTAAAATTTTTCTAATAATATTGTCTTCTTTAAACTTGAAAACAATGTTCATTTTCTCATCATAAGATGAATTACAACCTTTTTTTCCGTGCCATTTGATGTACTATAACAATTCCAATATGGGTGAAATTAACTTTTTTTGATTGTAATATAAGTAAAGATCATAAATACAAATATTATATTGTTTATTTATTTGCCAAACAACATCAAATATAACAGTAAAATTTCACTGCCATACCACACATACTAAATTTTCAACTTTTCACAGGGTTGCTCATTTAAATTTGGCCAGCACTGTAGTTAATCAAATTAAATTAAGTTAAGCAGATTAAATTTTTTGTTTTGTTTTGGATTTAATTAATGGTTGTATTTTATAGAAGTATCTTTTATGAATTTGAATTGCCTATAGTAAAACTGAGCATTTTATGTTATTAATTAAATTAATTGAAGTACATGGCATATGTATTCAATTGGACTACTATTTTCTTTGCAAAATAATCTGAGTTTGATAATAAATAAAAATAAATGGCTAAAGTTTCTAATTTTAAATAAAAATTGTATTGAATAAGTCAAAAATTGTAAAATTTAAAAATTATAGTAATAGTGATCGATCGCAATTCTGTTTGAGCCAAAATTCTAATTTGAACTGATACCGAAATTTTGGTTCTGGTACTTTGAATAAATTTGGTGAGAAGCAAAAAGTTAGTTAAAAAACCTAAAACCAATGTTTCAATTTTGTATGGTTTTTAAATTTTATTTAACTTAGAAAAGTTTTTGACAATTTTCATAAAATAATTTATCATTTCTAAATGAAATTTTAAGCCCATTGTTTCAAAATAAATTTAACTTTTTAGTTAGAAAGTAGCGCGTATTCATCCGCTTATTGAAACCACAGTTAATCAAGAAAGTATCAAAACGACAAATTCTCAAAACCAGTGCGCATAATATTTTGATTCTTGCTCTGATAATGTTTTATTTTATGAAAACAAGTTAGGTTTAAATAATTTGAATAAAAATGACTAATTTAGTATTATTATATAAAATGGGAGTCATCAAAAAATAAACAACAAATGTAAAAATACAATAAATTTAAATAAACAAGAAATGTAAAATTGGATTTTTAGACAAAAAAATTTTAATAAAATTAATTTTGTTTAGCTGAAATTGTGATAATAGTTTTGGGAATAATGTTTGTTGAAATGTCGGTTTTGGTTTTGGCTTTGTATACTCAAAAATTTGCTTTTTTTTCAGTTTTTGATAATTTCCTGTTGTATCATAATACCTGTTGTATCATAATTCCTGTTGTATCACAATTACTATTCAGGAGTTTACTTTTTCCTTTAGTATTAAAACAGTATTATATGAATAACATATATTAAATTCTCTATAAGGCATTTAATGAATTGAGTTTTGAGACACACTTAATTCTAATTTTTTGTGTTAAACCAAAGGCCTAATTAAAGCCTTTTATTTTATAAAGTTGAAGAACAGATTAGATTTAACTAAAGTTGTTTTGAGTTACAAAGAAAACGTCTAAATAAGTTTTTTTTGAATGATATTTACTTAACAAATAAGTAAACTGAATAGGCTCAATGCAAAAAAGTTGTAAAACATATATAAATTTTTAATTGTTTTGCAAACTTTAGTTGTGTAGCCTGAGCGAGATTTCATATTCGTTCTTTTTAGAAGTGTTAAGATAAATAAGCATTAGGGTGGTTTTTTGTTTTTTTTTGAATTTAATATCGCACACCCTCTTATTTGGTGAGGTTCAATAAAAAAAGTTCACTGATAAAAAATTTTTCCAAACTGATGATGGGAAGTGGTCCCCCACACCTGCTTTGTAAGCCCTTTAGAACCCCGTTTTTGACCAAAATGACATATTTCTAAAATGTATTAAAATCAATAAGTATCAGTGTTACATGCATCAGTTTCACTTATTAGGATTAAAAAAATTACCTTTTCCCAGACTCCACCCTAAGAACGCAAGGTCTTTTGCTCTTTTGAGATTCATTTTTGTCTAAAATAATATATTTCTGAAATCTATTAAAATCAGCTTGTATTAGTGTTACATGCATCAGTTTTACTTATTAGGGTGATAACAATAAAAAGAATGTATCTAGCAGTGACAAATTCCCAGACCCCACCCTCAGGGCACTATGACCCAGACATGTTTTTTAAGCCCTTTTGAGACCCGTTTTTGTTGAAAATGATAATTTTCTAAAACACATTAGAATAAACTATTTTCAGTGCTACATGCAATAATTTTACTTATTAGGTTGAAGACAAATGTATGAATGTATGTAGCAGAGGTAACTTGGGGCAAGGGGAACAAGGGTAAAAATACAAAAAGCTGTTATAACAACTTAAAAAAGATTCTTATTTTTTAATATTTCTTCAATTTTTTGAATTGTGAGTACTAGTGGCTCATATGCCCCAAACTAGATCCCCATATGCACCTCTACCAGTCATTTCTAACTCAACCCTAATTCAAATTTATAAATTAAAAAATAACAAAAAATAATTTACTCAAACAAAAATTTTAAAAGAATGAAAAATATGATTTTATGCGATCAAGAAAACATATTACAAATAACAACATTTAAAATTATTCTAATAAAATAACATACATAATTTAATCAAACCTTGACATATTACTAAATTAAAATACTACAGAAAAACAATAGCCATATATGTACTTAACTATATATTTAGTTCATATTATATGTATGCATATTTGAATAGATGAAATTGCTGTTATTTAGAATGATTATGGCTTAACTGCCTCTTTGTAGCTTCAGTTGAAATTTTTTTTCTATGATACTCAACTACTTACGGTAGTGGTGTAGTGGTAGAGCGCTCGCTTCATAAACGAGTGGTTCCGAGTTCGATCCCCACCACGTCCCTGGTAGTACCGCACTCAACTCGTTTCTCTGCGTAGCGGCCTTGTTCGTCAAGGTTCGTGTTTCGGAGTTATAGAGTTGAGAGAGGGTTATAGCCACAAAATAAGTAGCCTCCTCGTCTGTAGTGGCCTTCTCGGCCTTGAGGAGGTGAAGTATAATAAAAAAAAAAACTTGGTAAAGAATTTACCAAGATGACTGATTGTCATTTTTTGTCAAAACTTCATTAAAGTCAGTGGCTAATTTAACTGCCCGTTCTGCACAGTCATTAACCACTTTCATGGCACTAACAATCTTACAAGCAGCCTTGTAGTCATCACGATTAGCCCAAGATTTAGGAGACGATGTCAAGAATTCTCTTGGTAGATTGAGAGAGTCAAACAAATTCATTGAGCGTTGTGTAACAAAGTTAGCTATAGAAAGTTTAGAGAATGTATAAATCTTGTTTGAAGCAAGTCTTCTATTGTCACCTGGTAATATTTCTTTTTGTAAGGCATTTACAATTTCCATTTTCTCTTCAAAAGAAATTTCTTCACTGAATACTGGGAGAGCAGCTAGATCTTCACTTAAATACCATAATTAAAGTTTAATTTTATTTTTTGCAACATTTACAACTTTGCTGTCAACTTGACAATAGTTCGCGATTACTTTTAAAAGAAGGAGATCATTTTTTGGTGCTTCTGTTGTGAGAGGTGCTGAAAACCAGAAACATACATAAATTGTGGTTATGAAGAGACAAATTCTTCTTAAAATCCCGATTTCTTTTTCTGTGACATTTAATTGATGGTGAAAACCAAAAATTTTTAAACAGTATATTCCTTTAGTCATCCATCTTGCACGATGGTAAGCTCCAGGAGTGCGAATACTTGTTGTATCATTAATTTCTCCCAAAAGGAGAAAAGTTAGTTGCCCAAACTCTTTATAATCATCACGTGGTTGAGTGTCCTTTAAGTTTTTTTTTAAATTTTCCACCACATCGGATTTTCAAGATGCAAGCCACTCTTTTTCAAGCTTTGTAAGGCATCCAGTTCCGCTTGGATAACTTTCAAGTGGTTCAAACTCTGATTTTTCTATTAACTCACACTGGGACTTCACTCTACCAAAGAGTTCAATGTTTGGTCCTTTTGATACAAAAAACGTATCAAACACTGCATTTGCACAGATTTCAAGAATATGATGTCGACAGGCTAAAAACAAAACTCTTTTACCATCAAAATGAGCAACTAGTGGAACCAAGGGTTGAAAATCTTTTCTCACTGCTGTTGAAAGAGATTCACGAGATGTAGTTCGAGCTTCTATTAGAGTGGAATGTGATAATGTTAATTTATTTAATCAATACAGATTGCAGCTAGGGCTGGTGTGACAACCATCATTGCTTGTCGTGGTGTTATTTTTGTTTGGTCTAATGGTGCATAAAAGAGTTGATTATCAAGAATACATCGTTTGGATACTGTAATTGAGAGTTGACTAGTACCCATAGTAGAATGTTTTGAAATTTTTTGACAATTAAAAACTTTTTGTATTTGAATTGACGCATCACAGTCAGAGTTTTCATCCAAAGAGTAATCTGAATTGTCATCCATTAATGTTTCTGTAGATTTAACTTTACTTTCTTTATATTGTTCATAGCATCTTTTTTCTTCAAGCTTGCGTTTTCTGTACTTTACAACTGCTTTCTTATACATTAGGTCTTCCGATGTCATTAACATCTTTCTGGGGCCTCTCTGGTCTATCAGAAATTGTTTATCTTCATTTATCTTGATGAGACAATCCCATTCACTATGGGCAATATTAAAAAGTGTAGGCATCTTGGTGGTAAATTTTTCTTCATAGCTGTGTTGAGTAGCTGATTTTCTACTTCTGTGCTTAGACACTTAAACATGTTGCTTGTGAATACTCTTTAGTTTAGCAACTACATGAGGCTTTGCTATAGTTGGAATATTAGCCTTAAGCCAGAAAATCATAACTTCATCTGCAACTGTGTTGCAGGATGTTGAAAGAGTTGACTTTTTGACTATCATTTCATAAAAAACTCTACATAGTGCAACACCACTTGTTGGCAACTGACTCTGTCCATCTATTGTGGAGAGAATATGTCCAACTAGCCAAACATTTGAAGTTGAGCATGTTGCTTTGTTTGAAGCAGCCATCTTCTTATGTAATATTTTTATACTTTTTTACTATAATAGAAAGATTATGACAGAAATTTAATAATTACAAAGTGCTCAAAGCATAATAAAAAAATTAAAAGTCTTAGATAATACACCCGCTTCCCATTCCTAACCCTTTCCCACCCAACAATGGCCAAACATGTCATTACTATTATTAAATTTATACAAATTTAATTTCTGAACTAAAGTTTACTTAGAAAAAGTTTACTTGAAATTATAGCAAATAAAATGTTTTTGAAATCAAAGTAGGCATTTAGAAGCGATTTTGGGTAAATAATGCTGAGGGGGTTAATCTAAATTTGCTTGTACTTTCCAGTCTTCTGTGAACTTCTATGTTGTAACATTATAATACTTTATATTATTTGTTTTTAGATCAATTTATAGCAGTATTTTCTATGAAATAAAAATAGAATTACAAGATTAAGTTTTAATACAAATTTTGGTCAATTTAGGGTTCCAAAATAGGGTTTGGGGGACCACTTCCTATTTTCAGTTTGCAAAAAAATTTTAACTATATACTTTTTATAACAGACCTCACCAAATAAGAGGTTGTGCGATTAAAAATTTAAAATTTTTTTTTTTTTCATATAAAAAAAAACTACCCTAATAAGCATATATTAACTTATTTATGATGAGTAAATTAAATTCAAATGTAATTAAAAATGAAATAATTTATTTTGAAGTACATTTAAAATTTAGTTTAAAAATTATATTTTTTTAAATATGATTTTACATTTAATTTTAACTAAATATTTTTAAGGATCTTTACACAATGAAAGAAGTTGGTTGTCAGACTAATAGGTAATAATGTAGATTTTTCAATTTTCCATAAGTTTAAAAAAAAGTTTGTTTTATTTTGATATTACTTAAGTAAAACTCTTAAAGCAAGCAATGACATATGGATTAAAATTAACAAGTTTTAAATTTTAGATTTAAAAAATTCAACAAATCAGTTAATTTATTAAATTGATGTTGTAAATAATTTTTAGCAAATAAAACAAACATAAAGATTAGCGCAATTAGTTTTTATTTATTTTTGTTATTTTTTTGTTTTATCTAATCTTAATATTTTTTAACTTAAATTAACATGGCTTGATATTTTTCTTAGAATAATTATTTACTTGAAAATTGGAACTTTTTTTTTTTTGGTTATACTTTGATGTTTTAAAAAAAAATGTGATAGCTTTAAAAGAATTAACATGAGTTAGGAATCAAAAACACTAAAATTGTAGCGGTTGTATATTGTATAGTACAGGGGTTGGCAACCAGTTTTAAGCAGAGAGCCATTTTTCCTTTAACAATTTTTAAAAAACATACCGAGAGCCATGCGGGTGCTTGCATAAATAACTGAAGATTTGAATTAATATAGATTAAAATTAATTTTACTATAATGAATTAAATTTTTATTTGAAAATTATTATCAGCAACATATTGTTTTATAATATTCAATGATATTTAAATGTCTTAAAATACTTATTTTTACACATTTTAAAGTAAATAAACAAATAGAATAAATCTTATTATTCTTATATTCTTGATATTAAATGTAAATTCTTTATACATCAATACTTTAAAGCTCAAAACTTTTGTGCTTCAAGGTATTGATGAAGCTATTGAAAGTTACAAAGTAATATTATAAATTCTGAATCAATATTTTTGTTTTTAAAATTAGATTGTTACCAAGAAATGCATGCACCCAATATGAACCACGTTTTTATACAGAAGAACAGATTCATGATGTTATGAAATCAAAACAGTTTCTTGAATTTTTTAGTGAAATAGTTCCACGGTAATTATGCTTATGTATTTCATTATGTTTTAATTTATCATTTATGGGGATGTATTATTTTGGTTTTTGTAAATTCTTATTAAATATTTTATTAACCTTTTCAGTTTTTAATTTTTATTAACCTTTTGATTTTTGGATTAAAAAAGTATTGTTCTCTCTTTTGGCTATTTTTTGTTTTCACTTATTTAAATTTAATGTTTTGATATAAATATGTGTTTTGATATAAGTATGTGTTTTAATATAAATTTACAAATTTATTTTACTTATTTTTGATTAATTACACTATGTAACAAATTTTCATTTTTGTTCTGTTTCTGGGTTGAAAGTATGTTTATTCCAGAAAAACTAACTTCTGTGACCAGGGCAATGAAATCTGGAAAATGGCATGTTTTTAAGAACCTCTTAGATATTCTTTCAATACGGTGTTTCCTCCTAAAATATTTCTAAACTGCTAGAGTTGTCAAGATGTTTTTACATTCTCCTAAATACTCTAGAATGTTCAAGAAATTTCTAGAACTTTCTAGAATGTTCTTTCAGAACTTTCTAGAATGTTCTTTCAGAACTTTCTAGAATGTTCTTTCAGAACTTTCTAGAATGTTCAGAACTTTCTAGAATGTTCTTGAACGTTCCAAAAGTAGCTGTACAAGTATAAAAGTACAGGTGTTCAACAGGATTCAAATTTGTGTTATTGCAGACTGAAAGGATAATAATTCGTTGTTAAAGAGAGTTGATATGGCATCAATAGGTTGTTTGCATTCATTTAATTCATTCTGCTACATGTGCAGATAATTCATAAAGACAACAGCAAAAAAGCTTTCTGTGGAAGCAAGTTGTATAATGTGTCCTACAATACATATTTCAGTGTGCTAACCATAAAATTTTAATGCTTAATATCTAGTTCATTTCAAGGAGTTGTTTTACAAAGTTTTGCTATAACTCATGCACTGTAGGCAAATACGTTCCATCTTGAAATCAGTACATATTATAAAATTTCCTGTCCCCAAATTATTATAATTCTTATGTATTACTATGTGTTATGTTACAGGTTGGTATAGAGAAGAGAAGCAAGCCATAAAGTTTGCTATCTTATTTGCGACTTTGACGAGAGCTGACAGACCACTCAAGCAACTGCTGACAGACTAGCTAACAAGCTGACAGACCACTCAAGCAACTTCTGTATGGTAAACCTAAAAACCATCATGTGATGCAAATTTTGGTATTAGTAAACTCAATCATAGTTATTAAAAAGCCAAAATACCTAATAGGTTGCATATACAAATGATTTCACAGAGTTATGAGCATATTATTTAGTAACTGAAACAAAAAAGATTTCATAGAGTTACTTATTTCAGGAGATTTCACATTTTCAAATATAAAGTGGTCATTCAGACATGCTACATCAAGAGATGCCAGTACCAACTTTATAGATTACCAATTCAGTGAAGTGAAAAATGAAAAATGTAGTAGGCATCAGTGCACCCTTAATAAATGATAAATTATTAATTCACTATATAAACGAACTGACTACTTTTTAGCAAAAGGCGGAATAAAAAAAAACAACTACATTTTCAACACAAAAAAAAAATGATCATCCCCTCATCCCTAGTAAGAAATTATCATGCTTTAATACCCCTCCCTCCCCCCAAATTACACAACAAATTTCTTCTCCTCTACCTAAAAAATTCTAGTTGTGGTTTTAAATATGACTATTATTTTAAATTTTTTTATGTTTTTTACTGAAATATAATGCTGATCCTTTTTTTTACAGAAATATAATGCTGATCCTGAAGAAGGGTGGTGAGGGATGTGTGTGGCGAGAGATATGTGTCTTACTATATTGATAATAGTTTAACATCATGTGATGCAAATTTTGATATTAGTAAACTCAATCATAATTATTAAAAAGCCAAAATACCTAATAGGTTGCATATACAAATGATTTCACAGAGTTATGAGCATATAATTTGTTACTGAAACAAAAACGACTTCATAGAGTTACTTCATAGTTAACTAATCAATACATTTCAATACATATAAATTTTACTTTTTTAATATTGTTTTTTGAACTAGTCCTATATAAAATTGTTTAAATTAATAGTGTTTAAATTAATAAAATTGTTAAAATTAATAGACTAATAAACTCTAAAAAATAATTATAAATATATAATATTAAGAGTGTCATTAGCACTTGTAATACTTAAGTTAGATCTAACAGTCACAAGAATACGACACTTAATGGCTCCTAAAGCTGCTGTACTATATATATGCATGTATATATTTTATAAATACCACATTGTACATACATGTTCATATACAGATGTATATATTTTCAGTATAAAAACAAAGGCTATATAATGAACCAGGGTTGTGGAGTCGGAGTCGAAATTACGGAGTTGCAACATTTTTAGCGGAGTCAGAGTCGCTAAACAAAATTGCGACTCTAACTCCAATAGTAAAACTTATGGGTATTGCATGTGCATGTACAAAACATTCAATTAACCTTATGCTCATACTAAACCTCAAAGAACGTTTCATAAATTTGTCAAAAAAGAAGTTTTTATCTTATCATGTAATATTTTTTTAAGATTTCAGAAAATTTTACAAAAATTTTGCTTTGGAGTTAAAGTTGGAGTCATTACTTTTTTTTTATGACTCCACAACCCTGTAATGAACAAATCTAATCTATTTAAGATATGAAAAATATATATTTTTATCTTGATGTTTTTGTATATCTTCTATATCTTTAATATAATTGTGCTTTCCATATAGTTTATATGCAGATTTCAGCTTCATGTTCCAAATCCTTTTATCTGTAGTTTTACATATTTAATTATATTTTGTATGTAAATTGACTTTTTTTTTGTACGCAAATTTTTTTTTAGGTTAGAACAAGCACTGAAAGAAAATTTGACAATTGATATATTCAACAATGATTTTAGTGTGATAGGACACGAGGACAGTATGTTTTTATCAAAGTCAGAAATTAATTTAAAGGTAACTAAATATTAGGGGTTTTCACAAAGCTTTGATTTTGGAATAGCTGCGTTTTTTATGGTATATATTCTATTCAAGTTTAAAATATTTAAGTAATAAAACTATTAGAAGAAATTTTTTACTCTTTAAGAAAAATATATTTATAGAATTATTCAAGAAAAAAGGTTATATCCAACTGCTATTTTTTTTTACTTTTTTTATTTTATAAATTTACATACCCAAGGCCCAGGGTACTACTTTAAAAGCTGGTTATTCTTAATTTTTTCTCATTTTTTATTGTATACCTCTCATAACCTTTTAGTTTTGCAACATAAGCTTTAGTAAACAAGGTCAATACATTGAAAAATTAGTTGATAAAAAAAATTTATTTATTGTATTTAATACCTCAATTTTAAATTTTTTAATGTTATGTTATGTTATCCTTTTTATTTCCTGTTTTATAAAGTTTTAATAATTAGCTTATTTTTAAGATTGAGATAAACTACTTTTTGTTCAACTTAAATTTTTTTATTTACATTTGTATTTTGTTAGGAGTACCAATCTTTTACAGATCTTCAGTTCAGTAAAAATAAATCGATTTCAGAAGTGCAATGGCATCCTACTATTAAAGGTTAAGTTTAATTATTTAGTGTGTTTTTTAAAATTTTGCCAGGTGATTAGTTGATTTTTATTTAGTTTTTGTTTGTCAGGGTTAATTGCTGTTTCTTGCATTGAACACATGACTTTCTATGATCGAGTTGATAATTCTACAAGTTTACTTATGGAGCCTTCATTAATACTTATCTGGAGTTTTGGGGACCCTATTCATCCTTTAGTAATTTAAAAAAAAATTTAAAGTTTATTAAGATACAATTTTTTTTTTCTGTTTGTTTATTTAATTTTGTTATACATTTTTTAATTTTGTTATCCATTTTTAAAATTTTTAATAATACTTAAGTTATTTTATATGCAGTTTTTTTTACTTTTATTTAAAGTAAAAAAAACAATATAATAACTTTTTTTACTTTTATTTAAAGTAAAAAAAACAATATAAAAAACTACAATTATCATTGTAGTTTTTTATATAGTTACTGTCACCAACAAATATTTTTTCCTTTATATAGTTACTGTTAGAGTCACCAACAAATGTTCTTTGCTTTAAATTTAATCCTACTAATCCAAATATCATTGCAGCTGGTTGTATCAATGGACAGGTTTTTTTTATATGCAGTTTTTTTTACTTTTATTTATAAACTTCAGGAATAAATAAATAATTAAGTGGGTAGTCTTTTAATTTTTACAATAAATTGCTTAATTTCATGTTATTCTTTCTTTATCTCTCATTAAAATTATTTCTGAGTGTTGATAAGAAGTTTTTTTTAAACTTAAATAAAATGCTGTTTTCCAGCATAGTTCTCTAGCTATGCTGGGATTTCATTATATTTTAGTACAACACAAACACAACAGTAAATATCAGCGCACTCATTACAACATCTAATTAAGTTTAATTAGTAACATCTCATTGTTTTATTAGGTTTTATTAGGTAAGTTCTCAGAGTTTTAATAGGTAAATTTTTCAATGGCGTAACATCAGTAATACTGACTCGATTTAAACAAAGTACCAGCAAAATCAACACATTTTTGCTAATGTATCGCAAGTTGATAAATTCTTTCAGGATTTAATGAAGTTGACAATGTCCTTTTGACTTGGTGCTCATTAGGATATGTTCTACTGATGAGAAAATGACCAATGTGTATCAAATAGTGGTAGTTGTTTTGCAAAAGGTCTAGGGAATATGGCAAATAAGGCAGAATTTTGACACTCAATTCATTTTTTTTTGAACAGTAATTTGTGAAACATGCAAATTGTTGAATTATGAATACAGTAATATAAAAAAAGCAATAATAATAAAAGATAAAATTAATATTCATTAAATATATGCTCAAATAAATATTTCTTAATTTGGTTTCGATTGAGAAAAAGAATGTTGGTAGTTTAAGGGTATTTAATTTTTCAAATAAACATTTCTTAATTTGGCCCATTTGTTTTTCAAATAAACATTTCTTAATTTGGTTTCGATTGAGAAGAATCTTGGTAGTTAAAAAGTATTTAATTAAAATCTTTTTTTTATAAATGGTATTATTTGGTTTCAGTCAGAAATACATTGATGTTTTATAGAGAGTTTGCCATATTTGATTGTGTTAAAAAAAGAAGTGTGCAAGTTAAAATTTTCAGTATTTCGAGTGTAATATTTGTGTGTCTTTTTTTAACACTATCAAATATGGCAAACTCTCTATAAAACATCAATGTATTTCTCACTGTAACAATAATGCCATTTATAAAAAAAAAAGATTTTAATTAAATACTTTTTAACTACCAAGATTCTTCTCAATCGAAACCAAATTAAGAAATGTTTATTTGAAAAACAAATGGGCATTGTTGTGGAGCAGGTTCAGACCACTTGTGTTGATCAGTGCTGGCTGCTGCTGACAAAAAATTGATACATTTTGTTGATTTATTTACAGTAGAACTGTACTGTGATTGTTTGGCCAGGTTTTAAAATATTGTTATTGATCAAGTCAACTACAGACGATCGTACTGTATCCGTAGTCTTTATTTGATGGGTTTTCACTTTTGAGAAATGTCTGAGAGACTTGTCAGCTTTTTCACTTTTCCAATACTTTCAACCACCTAAGATTACATGGTGACTGGCACTTATTTCCAGCCCAATCCCTTGAGCTATTTGTAATGAGTCATGAGTTTACCAGGTTCCTCAATTTGTTGTCTCCAAAGAATACTTTATGTTGACTACTACTACATCTTTAAATCTGATATTTTTGAAACAAAGTTTCTTGAGTTGTTGTTGCATAATGCTTCCCCCAAAGCTATTAGGGTCCCACATCTAGTTAGTTTTGCACACTGTCTCAGCAATGAATTGTCCCAATTTGAAGCTAAAAAAAAATCATTCAAAGCTGTTCCTTAAATATGCTGAATTTAACCTACAAAAAAATAACAACAGGGTAAAACAAAACCCTGTAAACTTTTGTATTAACCTAATAGTTAACTGTTCCTTTCATTGAAAGATACTATTTAAATATGTATTAAGTATGTTTATAGTCTTTTTGTTTTTTTTCTCATCAACTTCAGTCTTAAAAATTTTTCTTTTCTTTAATGACTTTTGATACTTTTCTTGAATTTTTTTAATTTTAAAAAAACTTTTTTTTAGTTTTTAGTGAGAGTTTGTACATAAAAGTTGTTGCTCTGGTAAAAGTATAAACTTAACATGATCATAGTCATTATCATAAGTCACATTACATCATAATCATCATCATCAACAATCAATACATCATAATCATCATCGTCAACAATCAATACATCATAATCATCATCGTCAACAATCAATACATCATAATCATCATCGTCAACAATCAATACATCATAATCATCATCGTCAACAATCAATTCGTCATAATCCTCATCTTCAACAATCAATACATCATAATTATCATTGCAAGTCACATTACATCATCATAATTATAAGCCACATTCAGTTGTATGCTCTTTATTGCTGTTTTACACTATACTAAATACCACAATCATAAATTGTCAAAAACAGAATTTTTTTTTATAAAACTATGTTTGAACTACTTCATAAAGAAATATTATAAAATAAATATATTATATAAAAGTTTAGAAATATTATAAAATCAAAAAATCAAAAATACAATATACTTTTGAGTGGAAAAATAATGTACTATTTATACTTATAAATAACCAAAAAGTGAAAGAGATAATCAAAAGATAAAAGAGTTGAAAAAATAAATGAGATAAACGTGCTTCAATTGGAGGAATAAACTTTTTTTCCTGAAGTTATTTATTGACAACAAGTAAAGTTTTATTTTTTAACCGCAGTTGAATTTTTCTCTTTTTTTTTGGACAAAGACAACTTACATAGTTTGTAATATTCAATTCGACATATTCAGAAAGAATGAATTGAAAAAAATAAATAGCTACAGTAAAAAGTTTTTAGCTTTGTTTTTGAGCACTGAAGTGTTTTACCTGCAGTATATTATAACTGGCAATTAGTAAATTTGAAAAATTTGCCGTTGAAAAAAATAAAACTATCTTTATAATGGGTAATTTTAATATAAATCTTATAAAAGCAAACTCAGATAATTCAAATTCAGAGTATTTGAATACCATTTCTTCAAACAACTTTCTTCCTTTTATATCTTTACCGACAAGAATTACTAATCACTCAAGTACTTTTATTGATAATATATTTTCTAATTCAACCTTTAAAGATATTTTTTCAGGCAATCTAACTATTAGAATATCGGATCATTTGCCACAGTTTCTAATTTATTTTTTTAAAAGTTAGTTCTTTTAAAAAAAGAGTTCATCAAAAAAGTAATATTATTCTTCGAAACTTCAAAAAATAGCTTTAACTTTAACTAGCTTTAACTCTCTTATAGACAAACACACATCACTAAAAATATTAAGTAATTTTGGCTTAACTCTGAGCCATTAAACCATGGATTAGTTCAGCAATTTTAACCTCAATAAAAAAACAAAACAATATATTCTAGAAGTTCCTTAACACAAAAAATTATCATGACAAACTAATTCTTGAAAAAACTTACAAAACCTATAGAAATTTACTTGTAACACTAATTTGAAGAAGCGAAAAAACTTACTTTTCTAACTACCTTACTACCAATAGCAATAGTTTGAGAGCTACATGGAAGGGTATTAGAACTCTTTTGAATATACATTCGAATGATATCTCATATCCATCTTGTATATCTTCAAACAATACCATTATAAATGATCCCGGAAATTTTCAGCTCCTTTTTTATTTCAATCCCTGAACTGCAAAAAATATTCATCTCATACTGACTTCCATAAGTATTTAAAAACATCAAACCCTGATACTTTTTTTATAAAACCTACTGAAAAAAATGAAATTATATTTGTTATTCTTCCTCTAAATGATGGCAAGGCTTCTGGTCCAAACAGCGTTCCAACCTTTATTCTAAAACTTCTTGCTAATGATATTTCTTCAGTACTTTTTAAACTATTTAATCTCTCATTTGCTACTGGTATATTCCCAAATACTTTAAAAACTGCATCTGTTAAACCAATCCATAAAAAGGATTCAAAACTTGACTGCAATAACTATAGACCAATATCACTATTATCAAATATCAGCAAAATTCTTGAAAAATTAATGTATTCTTGTATCTACCACTTTCTTGATAATTCTAAGTGTCTCAATGACCGCCAGTTTGGATTTCGTTTAAAACACTCAACTTCCCATGCACTTATTAGCATTACTGAAATGATTCATGGTGCAATTGATAGCGGTTCTTTTGTGGCGTCTTTATTGATCTCCGAAAAGCATTTGATACAGTTGATCATAAGACTTTAATTGAAAAATTGTATCATTATGGTATACGAGGTATCGCTAATGATTGGTTTTCATCCTATATTAATAATCGTACTCAGTTTGTCTTAATGGGTTTCAATCCACAAGTAAAGTTATTAAGTATGGTGTCCCACAGGGTTCTGTTCTAGGATCTTTACTGTTTTTAATATATATTAACTATCTGCCTCAATCTATAAATAATTCGATTGTTCATAATTTTGCTGATGACACTAATCTTCTATGCATAAATAAATCCCTCACCCAGCTTTGTAAAAAGGTTAATTCAGATCTCCATCATTTGTGTCATTGGTTAAATAGTAACTGTCTTTCCCTAAATATCAATAAAACTAAATTTATTATTTTTCACCCTCCAAAAAAAAAGATTGATAATAATATTGTGAAAATTAGAATTAATGTTAAAAGACTTTTCCCATCTAAATATATAAAATACCTTGGGCTATTTTTTAACAAAAACATATCATGGTATTATCAACTAATTCAGTATGCTGTCATTAATACAACACAATGTTCCTCAACATAATCTAATATCAATTTACTATTCCTTGTTCTTCTTGCATCTAAGTTATTGTTGTACTGTTAGGGGTCAAAAAAGTAGTTTTCTATTACATCGTATAAACAGTTTACAACACATTTCCTTGAGAATTATGACATTTTCTTTTTTACAATCTAATATCAAAAATAGATTTTCTGAATAAAAAATTCTAAAATTTCAAGATTTTATAAAGCTTTATAATTGTCTTTGTGTTTGATTTTCTTCAAAATAAACTACCAAATTCGCTCAATAGTTTTTATATTAAAACAAGTGACACACAAACATTACACTCGAAATACTGAAAATTTTAACTTGCACACTTCTTATTTTAACACTATCAAATATGCCAAACTCTCTATAAAACATCAATGTATTTCTGACTGGAACCAAATAATACCATTTATAAAAAAAAGGTTTTAACTAAATACCCTTAAACTACCAATAATCTTCTTCTCAATCAAAACTAAATTAAGAAATTTTATATATTTAATGAATATTAATTTTATCTTTTATTATTTTTGCTTTTTTTATATTATTGTATTCATAAATCTATTATTACTTTTCTTTTATACTGTCTTTTTAACTTTACTAATATTACTTTAGCTTTGTTTTATAAATCTTATTAATATTATTTATAATATTAATAAGAGTTTATTAAAAAAAAACTGTTTTTTTAGTGCGACAAAATTATAAGACACTTTTGGAAAAAATTCATATAAATTGTCATTTATATAAAAAGACGTCTCAATTTTAAACAATAGTGGGTACTTTTACCATTTTTTTTAATCACTTCAATCATTTTAGAAGGTAAAAATTTATACAATTTTTTTATATAGGAAATGTCAATTGCATCCCATGCAGATGCGATGGATGATTTCAAGTCAGCTTGTGAACTATATTGTTTACCACCTTCAAACACTATATGTAACACCTGTGCCCCACCATTTTTAATAATGTTCAGGTCTAGAGATCTAGCTGGTCACTTCAATACTTCAAGTTTACTACTGTTAAAATATTTCAATACTATCTTAGCTGTATAAACGCTAGCATTATCTTGCGGAAAAACAAAATTTTCACTACTTATTACAGAATTTTTGATTTATTATGATACCCAATGGCACACCAAATCATTACAGCACCACCACCCATTTGATGTTGTTGATGTGTTACTGGTTCTTTACACAAATCGTGAAAGTAATCTATCTAGCCCATCAAGACAAAATTGTTTTTTGTCAGAAAATACTACTTGTTTCCACTCTTTATTCTATGTTACGTGGTCCTTTGCAAAAGTTATTAGAATATGTCATTTGTTGTCAAAGGTGGTTTTTGCTGAGGTTTTTGCACAAAAGGTGAAGAGCATTATGAATAACTCGCTGAACTGTACGTAAAATAGCAATCAAACCTGCTTTTGCAGAAATTTGATGTGCAGTTAATAAAAAATTTGAAGCTTGTCTTAACAATCTTCGCCTATCACGGTCATTTAATGTTGATGGACATCATGGACTTTATTTTATTCCATACATATGAGGACTATAAACGTAGTTTTTAATCACAGTTTGGCTGCGTCTAATAGCTCTAGCCATGTAACTAACCGAGTGACCCATTTTTCGATAAGTTAGAGAGCACTTTTTTCTCATCTGGACTTAACAATGCAGCACGACCCATTATTAATTAATTTGTTATTTTATACTTAATAAAAAAAAAAATAAACTAAATTTTTGACAGTTCACAAATGTTTACAGTTAAATAATTGTCTGTGGTGTTTACATCAAATAAATATTCTTAATTGCCCATAACTGTCGTTTGCAAATAAAATGTTTTTTGTAAAACTGTCTTATAATTTTGTTGCACTGAAAAAATGATTTTTTTTAATAGAATACGAGTTATGTTAAAAATAAATTTGTCAAAATGTTGTTTAGTGTTGTAAACCGTTTTGCGAGTTTTATCAATATTTTTGGGGTGTCTTATCATTATGTCGCGCAGTGTATTTTTTGTAATTATATTTAATTAATTAGATTTTTTTTTCGTCTTGGACACAGACAACTTTTACAGATTGTTAGTTTTAAGTACTTTTACATGTTTGGCTAAAAACCTAAAATACCTGTGGTCCTTTATTTTAAAACTTAATTTATATATTAAAATACATAAAAATGAATACAATCTGATTTTTTTTTTTGTTTTTCAGATTGTAATGTGGGACATAACAGAACACTCTGATCGTTTGCAAAATCATATGTCACACAGCAAAGGTGTGCCTGTCAAGGAAAAATCCAAACAAGTCAGTTAATTTTTTCTTATGTTAATTTTTTTTTAAATATTCATTTTTTTCTTTTCTTTACAATTAGAATTTAATTTCAGAATGAGTCATTTTATATTTTTATATATTTTATATATACAATTTTAAAAAAATATATTAATTTTCAATTAATATATTTTTTTAAAATTGTTTGTGTATATAATTTCTAATTTTATTATAATTCTAATGCAAAATTGTTTTTGTAAAAACTTGTATTTTTTTATTAAATTATATATTATCTTTTTTCAATTATTTATTATTTTTTTCAATTATTTATTATTTATTATCATTTAGTTTTTTTTTGTTTAGCCTGTTATGTTCAACACTAAAACTACGGAATCAGCTCCCATTGTTCAATGTTATGTAGTATCAAGTATTGAAAAGTCACATCGAACAGCAGTTACTGATATTCAATGGATACCAGATCATATAGAGGTTGTAGTAAGAATTTTATGGAAATTCAATTAATCTGAAAAAATAAAACTTTACAAAATTATTTAATAAAAAAATGGTTGAAGTAATTATACATTTTTATTTCTTCAATTTTTTAACTCATACTTTGATCATTTTTTTAAAAATGATCAAAAAACAGTTTTCAATAAAAAAATAATTTTTATAAAGTAAAATATCTTTTATAGCTTAAGAGTTATGTTTTGATTACTTTGAAGTTGTTGTTTGACAATATGACAATTTTGGTTTAACTGGTTTCTAGAAATTTATAAAATGTGATAAAATAAAAATTTATAATTTATGAATTTTTAAAAATGTCAATTCATTGTAAGTTGCCTTATTTATTATGCAACAAGTTGCATTTATTATGCAATATCATTAAGTATTGCTGTATTACTATCTAAAAAGATTCTGTCATTTGTGTTCATTCAAAAATGCATTAAATAAAACTTCTCTTGTAGTTTCCCTCCTCCAACCTGGTTTAATAATTGAAGACCTCAATGCAAAAACAATGTAACTCCACTTTTGGTCAATTTTCAGGTTTAAACATATTATTACTACTTAAAAAAAGCTCTAACAGTTAGTTTATTAACAATAAAATGTAAACAGTAACAGTTAGTGCAGTAATAACTTTAAACAGAGCACTCCTTATGCCATTCAACGCAAGATTAGAATGAATAATACTTATTCCCTCCAATGATTTGGTGTACAAATGAGGTAACTCCAGAGTTACCTTCTTTTTGCACCAGATGTATTTTTTGTTTTCTACACTTTGAGTTCTTGTTTGTTAATCTAAACTTTTTTTGTGATTTTAAAAGACATGCAAGTTTAGTTAAATTATTTCTAGTGTTTATTAAAGCCTTATACTGTATTACAATATAGTATAAATGTAATTGTCAACTACAGTACCTAATAGACATTAATTAATAAAAGAAATAATATGGCTGTTTTCTATTGCAAGTGACATCAGTATATTTTACAATTCAGTTAATGAACCAAATTTTGTCCTCAAAAGCACTATGTCTAGTGTAAGTACATTTCTGACTTTAATAGAAAAAGGGTTGAACGTATTGTTAAACAGTTGCAAGAAAATATTCCTGCTTCAACAGATAAGTGTGGAAAACACAGAAGCCATCCCAACATGATAACTGAAGACATTGTAGACCAAATTGATGTTCATATCAACTCTTTTTTAAAGCAAACATCTCATTACAGCAGAACTAACAGCCAAAATAAATGGTATTTGTCACCTGATTTAAATATGGCAAAAATGCACAAACTGATCTGCAAAAATATGAGTCTGCTATTTATAACAGTGTGGAAAATAAGCAAGATTTTATAAAGCCAATAGTTTTTTATATGAAAAAAAGTACATGAAAAAAAGCTGCTTCTACCCACATAAATAAAATCAAATATTGCTGAAGTAAAGACAAGTAATAATAAAGCAGAGTTATTAACATTTGGTTATCAGCAAATCACACCCTTTATTTGGTAAATGGTGTTTTTTTCAAATGGCAGTTTTGGAAATATAATTTTTGTATATATGCAGCCAGTTCTGAAAAGTCTTATTTCTTAAATGAAGCAGTTGGCATAAAAGGAGAAAATGATGTTATAAGCTGTCTGCATTTTTTTATTCAAAATTTTTTTGCTATTGTTGTTTCAGTCATAAAGCTCTACTTGTATTCTGACTACTGTAGTTTACAAAATAAAAATCATACACTTGCTCACTATATATATACTTAGGCTCATACTAAAAAATTTGTCAATATAATTCATTGCTATACTGAATCCGGACGCAGTTTCTTACCTTTCAACCAGAGTTTTGGCTTGATTGAAAAAGAAAAGAGAAAGAGAGAAAGAATAATTTTACCAGAAGAATGGGTTTCTTTAGTAAGAAATACTTGCTGCAAATTTGCTGTTGTGCCAGTAACCTGATAGCTGTTCTTGAACTTCAGTAGCCATTTTTCTGGTTTATTCAAAAAAAAGTTCTTTAATAAACGCAAAGAAAAGTTTTTTCTTTCCGTTTATTTAAGACCTTGGCCAGTGGTTTTTGAAAAAAAAATTTTGTTCTTCAAAAATGTGGAGCCTGTCTGACTGACCAAATAATGACATTCAACTGTATTCCGGTCCAATACCAGTAAAGCACCCAAAGTATTTACAAGTAAAAAAACCTGCAGCCAAATATGTTCCACCAAACTGTATGTGGTTTTATTACACATTAAAGTGCTAAAGTGCAGAACAAGATGGTCCACTTTATTATTTATTGTGATATAACATTTAAAGTAATGAAATACAGTATGTAATTTAGAAAATTTACTTGTTTGTTATTTGTCATTTCTGGTATTCTTTTATTGGATTTTATTGGAGAAAAAAAAAAGAATCATTCACAATAAAACAGCTAAAGCCTAGTTAATACATTTTGTTAAGGAAATATAACATAATAAATTAACAAATATAGCACTTATGAAATTTATTTGGTGTGTTTTTGTTATTTTTAATTGTCGGATCTTGATAGTAACAGTTTTAATTGGCTTGGTGCAAAAATGAGGTAATTCCGTGAGTTAATTTTTTTTATATTGTTGTTAGTATTGATGATACAAAAACTTACAATAAACACACATTTTATACTAAACTACTCAGAACTTGTGTTAAAAATTGAGAGGATATAAAAGTTTCAAAGTTAATCAGTTTTTTCCTTCTCCTGAACAATTTGTAAAAATAGAGTTAAATCGTTTTTGCACTGAGGTCTTCAATTAAATAAATACTTTGAGTAAATTTAGAATGTAAATGAAAAAAGTTGTTGAAAGCACAAAGCAAGTTTAGGTAGCAGTTTTTTATTTATTTATTGGTGCCAAGTTGACCATGCGCCAAAGACTTTCAACAAACACTTTAAATTATTATAAATTTGTTCTTTTTTATTTTTAGAACAATACATAACTTATGTATTTAAATTGTATTATATTAAATATTATTATTAAGTATTATATTAAATATAAAAAATAAAAGGAAAAAGTTTTAAAGAGTGAGTTGAATTAAAAACAAGCAAACAAATAACTTAAACAAATAAAACTTTAAAAATAAAGTCAAAATTATCCCATATTAAAGGCAATGCAAATTTCAATGAATTAGTTGAAAAATCATGAAGTTTTTAAAAATGTATACTTTAAAAAATAGCAACAACCTCGGTCTTATGATACCTGTCTTATCGTAAAACTTTTTTTTAAAGTATACATTTTAAAAAACTTTAGGGTTTTGCAACTCATTCTTTCAAATCTTTGTATTGTCTTTAATATGAGATACTTTTGACCTTATTTTTAAAGTTTTATTCGTTTGGGTTGTTACTATTTTTTTAATTTTCACTTTTATTTATGATTTTTTAAAAATATAATATTTACACTTTATTCAGTAAGTCTAAAAGATTAGCATGTTTAAAACTATTTTAGTTGTTTCTTTAAAAGATTTGTTAATTCAATAAATAATTATGTCAGATTTATCTTTTCTTATAATTTGATATTTTTAAATATTATTTTTATTATCCATGCATATAAATCTTGTTTATAGCAATTGCAATCATGGAAAATAGTAAATTACTTGTGCTTCTCTATTGTTTAATCATGGAAAATAGGAAATTACTTGAGCTTCTCTATTGTTGAACTATTTAGAATTAGACTCCATTGTTCAGTAGTTGTCTTGTTGAATGTTGAATACAAAAGTTGGTGCATTTAGAAAAGATGAACTTGAAACAAATTTTTGTGTACTGTTGAGTGTATATTCATACTTAGTTGTGTAAATGTTATTTTGAATGGAATTTTACAAGTTGAGTGTAAATATTAATAATTAAAGTGTCACTGTTAACAAATAAGATGATTTTTTTGTGTGTGTTAACATATAGGATGTTTTTTGTTTTGTTTATTTAACTAAAATAAATTTATTCTAGATTGGAGCAAATGGTATTGTATATGAAAATACATCCGGTTTGTGCACTCAGTTGCTTAGCTGCAGTAGTGATGGGTTTGTTACTAACAACTTTTACTGGAAGTATAAATGCATTTGCATTTTTTATGTGTACATAAACAATGATAACTTGTTATCATTGTTTATATGCAAATGTCTTAATCTTATTTAAAAAATGTTTTAAACTTTAAATATTTAAACTTTATTTTAAACTTTAAAATTTTAAATTTGTTAAATTGATGGGATGCAGTTTTCAGTTTTATGTTTATTTATCTTACAATCAGTCTTAATCTCATTTGTTATGAAGACAATGCCTGAGTTATAAATTTAAACATGCGGAAATTTTCAATTAATAAAAACTTTTTATTAAATTTGTCAAAACTTTTTATTATTTATAAACATTATCTGGGAGTTTCAATATTAGCTGGGAGTGTCAATTGCATTTTTATGTCAAATGTTTTATACCAATTATTTAGCAAAAAGTTAACTATTTTTTTCTTACTGTGGAAAAATAATTTTCCAAAAGTAATTGTGTGAATTGATGTTAAATAGAAGCACATTAAAGTCAAAAAATTCTGATTTGATGACCAATAGGTGAATTGACACACAAGTTTGTTGAGTGAGAGGCCAACATACTTAATTGTTTTTATTTATTTGAGTGTCAATTAACTTGATTAGTTTAAGCTTCATAAAGTTAATTTATTTTTATATCATCAATTTTTATATTAATTATTTATATCTAAATTTGTCTAACAATAGTTTATAAAATGAGTTGTTCTATGAGTTAATTGGTTTATTGTTTCTCAAAAAAAATATTTATGATTTAGAACTGTGTTATTTTGGGATGTTAGTACTTCAAAATCATATTCTGATACACCCAAAAAGAAAAATCAATTGGAGAGTTATTCTTTTCAACATTTAGTTTCCTCCTGGAAGCCATTATTAAGGGTAAGTTTCAACATTTAGTTTCCTCCTGCAAGCCATTATTAAGGGCAAGTTTCAACATTTAGTTTCCTTCTGGAAGCCATTATTAAGGGTAAGTTTCAACATTTAGTTTCCTCCTGCAAGCCATTATCAAGGGCAAGTTTCAACATTTAGTTTCCTCCTGGAAGCCATTATTAAGGGTAAGTTTCAACATTTAGTTTCCTCCTGGAAGCCATTATTAAGGGTAAGATATTTATGATTTAAAAAAAATCTTTATCAATCTTCAATTTTGGAATGATCAAACATAGTCAAGTATTCGAAATTAAATTGGATCGAAAAAAAAATTTTTTAAGAAATATTATTGGGTGCAGCTTTGTCCTAATTTTTATTTTTAGCCCTAATTTATATCTTTTTTGCTGTATTATATATTTTTTGTCATAATTTTAATTTTTTACAATAATTTTTTTTTTCAAAGTTTGTTTTGTAATAATTTTTTTTATAGTTTTGTCATAGTTTTTTTTATAGTTTAGTTTAAAAAAGAAACATATCTTGCATTTTCCTTTCTGATGTACTTTGTTAATAAGTTGTTGAACTAATTTGAATGCTCTTTCTTAACATATCTTCTTGGAGAACCTTAATAACTAAAAAATAGATTTAAATTCTTGAAAAAAATCATCAAATTCCAATACTTGGAGATAAGTTTGACCCATTAAATCCAATGTTTTCCATGACGAAGTATGTCAAAACAAAACCAAGACTTATTTGTAACTAGTGAAACTGTTAGGTTCATTCTGTGAAAATTTTAAGCCTATTAAAGTAACTTTATTTTGGATCTGTATTTCTAAGGAATATACCTAATAGAAGATTTCAGTTTTTGACATTTCTGATATAATAAGAACCAAGTATGTTACAAGAAATTCATTTTTAAGCTTTATTACATTTCTCAAACTTTTTTTATCCTCAAACTACTTTTTTATCCTCTATTTTACTAGTTTTTTTATCCTCCAGTATGTTTTTATATCTTTATAGTAAAGGCTTATTTTTATCAATGCCTAATTTAATAATAAGTAATCTACCAATTTTATATTTTTATTCAAGTTTGTATATTTATTATAAAGCATTAAGTGAGACTGTTTTATTAGTAAAAAACTTTACAGTGTAAAATATTGTCATTTTTTTGCGAATAGAATAAATTCTTCCTTTAGTTCTTCATTAGTTTCAGGAATTTGAATAGAAACAGCCTTATCAACAGCTTTATTTAAAATAATCTTTGATGTGAACCTGACAAGATGAACAACTCTAAGATTCTGAGATTTTCCAATGGGTGGTAGTATCCCTGATAATCTTTATAAAGCAACTTTTAGTTCATTATTTATATATTTTCATTATGCCTATATAGTTTCACCACAAAAAACTGTAACACACTTATCTGTTAACAAATAAATTCTGGTTATGGGATTATTTAAGAATAATTGTCTACCAGCAGGTGCACCCCCTATTAATTCAAACAGCACATGATGCAGAATATTTTATGTAGACAAAATGTTATAAAAATTAAGCAAGTTGTCAGAGTTGAGTTTCTTTTTTAGGTTTAACATGTTTTACAGGTAAGGATATTTGAGACAATTTAAAAAACAGACCATTAAATAAACAAAATTTTAAAAGTCTAAAATATCTAACTTTTTTTGAAATATTTTACTATATTTTTAGAAATATCCAAGTAAAGTTCATTTCTTCTCCTCTATAGTGAATCCCTTTCATTTTCAATGATCTTTCTTTGTTGTTTATTATCTAGTCTTCAATTTATAACATATTTTACTTTCAGGGTTTCTTTAGATAAATATACTCTTCTTTTTTAGAAATAGTACAAAACGATAAAGCGTTAAATCAATTGGTTGGTTTATAAAGTTAAATCAATTGATTGGTTTTTTAAGTTAATGCTAGAAAAAAAGTTGTTTTTTAAAGTTGACATGCTATCAATAGTATAAGGCAAAGATTGAAAAATATTGTTTTCCAAGCAGGAAAGATACTGAATTAAATTAGATGACGTCAAAGTTCATTGTTCAAAACACTACTTTTTTTTTTACATTTAGGGATCTAAGACTAAAAAAATGCAAGGTATAATATAAAGAATAAGATAACAAAGCAGATGATGGCAATGATAAAAAAATTCCTTAAAACCTATAAAACCTTTGTTTGTAGTTGTTCAAAAAACAAGATAATTATATTTTCTTGTTTAACATGTCCTTGCATGACACTAGTTCCTAATATGTCCTTGAATGTCACTAGTTCCTAATATCTCCTTGCATAACACTAGTTTTTAATATTTCCTTGCGTGACACTAATTTTTAATATATTTGACACTTAATTGATCTGTTGTTTAAAAATCTATTTTTTAGTTTTAAGCTCATTTGTTTATTAAACTTTTTGGTCAAAAGTCTTTTTGTAATTTTAACCTAAAGGTCTCTTGTTTATTTTTACCTTTATTTGTTGTTGTAAGTGAAAATTTTTAGCTCAAATATTATCATTAGCTCCAATTTTTATTGCCTCAGAGGTACTTTATCAGATATTTATCAGGTATATAGTACTAACAAAGCCTTTTTATTTAGTGTATCATCATTTTGTGCCAAAAACAGTGCTTTTCGATTTTCCCATTTTCTAAGTTGTCTTCCCCACAGTGAATTGTTAATAATTATGATGATTATGATGATGATTATGATGATGATTATGATGATGATTATGATGATGATTATGATGATGATTATGATGATGATTATGATGATGATAACAATGATGATGATGATGATGATGATGATGATGATGATGATGATGATGATGATGATGATGATGATGATGATGATGATGATGATGATGATGATGATGGTGATGATGTTATTTTTAATTTTTAGGTTTCAGTCCATAAATTGAAAGGAAATGGTGAATATAGCACTGTGAGGTGTTTAATATCCGAGCAACATCAACCAAAGAAAAAGATCAGTAAAAATGTTTATTAAGTTTTTTTCAACAAAATAAGAATTTAATTTTTATAAAAAAACTATAAAAACTTAAAAGTAAACAAATTTTAGATAATAGCAGATTATTCTTTAAATGTTTTTTTCTCTATCAATGTAGTAGACTAGATGTAGAACACTTGTCTCATAATTAAGAGATTTGAGGTTCAAATCCACCCTATGTCTCTTGAAGTTCTGCACTCAACTTGTTTTTTATTTGAGGCTTTAAAGTTTGTGTTTTGAAGTTAAAAGGTTAAGGGAGAGTTGCAAACAAAAATATTTAGATGCCTATTTGACTGTGGTGAGCTGTAGTGACTCTGGAGCCTGGGGTGAATTAAATAAAAAAATTTATATATAATACCAGCTGCTTTCTTAAACTATAACTATCTAATATTAGATAGCACATTTAGTAAAGTTATTATTTGAAGTTAATTAAATTTAAGTGCTTGTAATTCTATAAAAGTTCTTAATTTTTAAAATAACAATATTTATTATCAGATACTTGATTTTTAGTGGAAACACCTGTTCAAATGATATTAAGGGAGCCTGATCCTTTTGAGCAGTCATTTAAGAAAAAGTTTGAAGGAAATCAGATGGACAGTGTAGATACAAAATTTTTAGTTGCTACTGAGGTATGTATATAACGTTTTTAGTTGTTACTGAGATACTGCATATAAAAATTGCTTTTGTAATAAAGTATTTAGAAGTTATGGTCTTTTTTTTTTTTCTTTTTTTACATCTATAAAATGAAAAAAAAAAAAAAATTTAATAACAGTTTGTTAAATGTTAATTCATTATAGGATGGTGAAATAGTTTATCAAGACTGGGTACCTACTAAAAGTTTAGATACTGGAAAAACAATTTGTGAGTATTATGTTAATTCTTGTATATACGCTTCAAAATAAATTTTCAAGTATCCAAGAGCATCATTTTAGATTTTCAAAAATATGTTATCTGGTTTCAATATTTTATTTTCTTGGTTTACAAAGTTTTACAAATTTTGCTGAAAAGTGAATTTTATTATTGATTTTGGTTGTTAACAGTTCAACATGTTTTTGTTGGTATTGACCTCGTATCTGCTGATATCAATGTTGTATTTGTTATAATTTTAATTGATTTTTTATTTTAGCTAGTCCTCCAATATATTGTTTGGATGCACACGATGGAAAAATTAGTACGTTACAGTGGTCGCCATTTATAAAAAATATAATCTTAACTGTAGGTGGATGGACATTTGCATTATGGAAGAAGGATCTTACTGTAAAGTTTTTGATTTTTTAAATTTGTAGCAGTAGTAAGTAATATGAATTGCTAATGTTATTTGAAATTGTTTCATAGAAAGCAAAAGCTATATATAATTATAATCTTAAATGTCTTAAACAATGATTGTTGTACTAAAATTTTTATTTGTTATAATTAAAAAATTGCTTATTGTGTTTTTTCAAAGTTTGGACCAATTTTTCAATCTTTTCCCCACCAATGTCAACTTTCCTCTGGACATTGGAGCCCAACACGACCAGGAGTTTTCTTTATAGGAAGAATTGATGGAAGTATAGACATTTGGGATTTTTTAGATAAGTGAGATTTATTGTTTTATTTTGGTTAACTAAGTTTGTATTTAAATAAATGTATATAAGTTTTGTTTTTGTTTTATTCTATATATATTTTTGTATGGGCATGTGTGTGTGTTACCTGGTGTTGATCATTAAAAAAGTTTTCAATTTTTGGTTTTGAGTTTTTTTTATTTGTTTGTTTATATTTTAAAATTGTTTATAGGAGCCATGAGCCATTTTTATCTCAAAATGTTACATCTGCTCCAATTACAGCTGTGTTTCCATTTCAAATATCAAGTTTGTTTCTTTTATACATATTTAAAAAAGTGGTTTAGTTTTGAATAACACTTTTTGTAATTAAATTTATTTTTTAGAAAAGCAACAGCTGCTTGCTGTTGGTGATGAGTTAGGCACACTTCATATCTTAGAAGTCCCGTGGAATCTTAAAAATGCAACTGTTAATGAAGTATTATATATAAACTAGCTCCATATCTTTTTTTGATGATGATGATATAGATGTTGATGATGATTATGATGATGATGTTGCTGATGATGATGATGATGATGATGATGATGATCATGATAATGATGATGATGATGATGATGATGATGATGATGATGATGATGATGATGAAAATGATGATGATGAAGATGTTAATGATGATGATGATGATGATGATGATGATCATGATAATGATGATGATGATGATGATGATCGTGATAATGATGATGATGATGATGATGATGATGATGATGATGAAAATAATGATGATGAAGATGTTAATGATGATGATGATGATGATGATCATGATAATGATGATGATGATGATGATGATGATGATCATGATAATGATGATGATGATGATGATGATCATGATAGTGATGATGATGATGATGATCATGATGATGATGATGAAAATGATGATGATGAAGATGTTAATGATGATGATGATGATGATGATGATGATGATGATCATGATAATGATGATGATGATGATGATGATGATGATGGTGATGATGATGATGATGATGATGATGATCATGATGATCATGATAATGATGATGATGATGATCATGATAATGATGATGATGATGATGATGATCATGATAATGATGATGATGATGATGATGATGATAATGAAAATGATGATGATGAAGATGTTAATGATGATGATGATGATGATGATCATGATGATGATCATGATAATGATGATGATGATGATGATGATGATGATGGTGATGATGATGATGATGATGATGATGATCATGATAATGATGATGATGATGATGATGATGATGATGATGATGGTGATGATGATGATGATGATGATCATGATAATGATGATGATGATGATCATGATGATGATGATCATCATTATCATGATAATGATGATGATGATGATGATGATCATGATAATGATGATGATGATGATGATGATGATGATGAAAATGATGATGATGAAGATGTTAATGATGATGATGATGATGATGATGATGATCGTGATAATGATGATGATGATGATGATGATGATGATGATGATGATGATGATGATCATGATAATGATGATGATGATGATGATCATGATGATGATGATGATGATGATGATGATGATGATGATGATGGTGATGATGATGATGATGATGATCATGATAATGATGATGATGATGATGATGATGATGATGATGATGGTGATGATGATGATGATGATGATGATGATGATGATCATGATAATGATGATGATGATGATGATCATGATAATGATGATGATGATGGTGATGATGATGATGATGATGATGATGATCATGATAATGATGATGATGATGATGATCATGATAATGATGATGATGATGGTGATGATGATGATGATGATGATGATGATGTACCCTGATACATGATATTTTAGATTATTTTAAAACTTTTCCATGTATGTGTGTGGAAAGTATTATCTGTTTTTATTTTTATGCTATAGTTATGAAATATAATTTACTTTAAAGGTTGGGATTATTGAGGCATATTTTCCATGTATGTGTGTGGAAAGTATTATCTGTTTTTATTTTTATGCTATAGTTATGAAATATAATTTACTTTAAAGGTTGGGATTATTGAGGCATATTTTGAGCGTGAAGCTAGTCGTGTTATATTGGCTAATGAGCGACACACTTTGACCACAAATAAAGCTGAAGAACCTTTGTTGAATGTTAGTTTTATTTGTAAATATTTAGTCAGTTGTTGCAAAAAAAAAAATTTTTTTATGACTAAGTAAAGAGCTTTGTTTCTTCTTTAAAACATTTTCTGCTTACTTAATTAGTAATTTATAAAATAAATAAAAAAAGCATTTTAAAGGATAGATTTAATTTATAGGTAGTCCCTATCATTGAAGAAACTTCTATAAATGATGCTGAAAAGGTAAATTGAATTTATATTTAGAATAGAATAAAGTAAGATAAAAAGTTAAATATGACTTAAGGAAATGCAGGATTAATAGTTAAATAGATTCATAACATTACATACATTACATTACAATTTATATTTGCATAGAATTTGTATACTTTCAATGGTCAGGAAATCAATAGGTTTTTTTTATTTAACTTTACATTTTAATGCGCTGTGAAAACAAATAAATACAAAAAAAAAAGCATTAAGTTGTTATAAGATCTTCATTGGGTTGACCCTTGACCATTTTTTCAAGTGAACAATACAAAAAAAAATTCTTAAATTAATATAAGATGGGGTTTGGGGGGTGGTGCTAAAAACAAGGAAATGAATGTTAGATTAGCATATATTTAGGGCATTTTAGAAAATTTGTTATACTAGTACTAATAAAGATAAAAATATCTTGATAATGTTTTTGTTATCAATATTGGCATATGACTGTATAAATTTGCATATGAATGCTAATTCATTATGTTGCCTTTTTAACTTTCTGAGAATCTTTATTCCACTACAAAAACAGATTATATACATAAAAATATCTCGCTTTTTATCTGAAACCAAGCAAAGTTTTTATGAATATTTCTTTATTGAATATTTCAGCAAAATTTTTTATGAGTATTTCTGCATAAATAGCTCTTTTAACTAAGTTAAAACTTAGGGAAAGTTTCTTCCTTCAAAAGTGAAAATTCAATACTAATAGAGGTAGTTTTGTAAATTTTGTATGTCCATCCCTACATTAAAATTTTTTTTACAAAATATTATGTACTTTTAGGCTGATCCTCCATTCATCTGCATGGAGTTTAGCATAAAATACTTTTTTATTTAATTACAAGGGTTTTGAGCCTATGATGAGCCTAGTTCCATATGATGGAACATAACAAGGGTTATGAGCCTATGATGAGTCTAGTTCCATATGATGGAATTAGGCTTTATTTTGTGTTTTTTTATAGTTTCTTCTAATTTGTTTATGTTGGTGAACTGGAATCAGCATATTTCACCTCTTCTGTACATTATTAATGAGTTCCTTGCAAAACATTTTAAAATTAAATTTCACTGCTTTTATTTTTTTATCTAAATGTTTGTTAAAATCTTTTACAAAAGGTTCATTGGCAACTTTACTCTTTTCTTATTCACAAGCACCATAGAAGATCAATCATTTTAACTTTTCTTAAATTGTACATGTCTTTTTTATAAAAAAAAGTGTGTTTTATATAAACACCTAGTGTTATAATACACTTAACTTTACTTTTTTCTTAATCGCAAGTACGGTAGAAGATAAATCGTTTTAACTTTTCTTAAATTGTACATGTCTTTTTTATACTTTTAACATTTTTTTAAATTAAAATTTTTAAATAAAGCATTATTGATAAATTTCAATGGTTACTACTGTGATTTTAGTTATTTCAATTTAATGAACTTCTTGTTCATTATCTATCTTGTGTTTCCTCATAAAGCAGGGATAGTAAAATGAGGTTTGGAACTATCAGGTGTGTTAAATGTGTGTTGAAATAAAAATTGGACTGCATTATCAGGACTATATATGATGTATTAGGCACATTACATTCCTGTATTTTCTTCATCTATTTCATATATCGAAATTCTGAAATTGCTGTTTAAAAGTAGTTGAAGATGCTGCAGATCTGAAGTTGATACAGATCTGAGAAACTATTTTGAATAGAATTTACTACTACCTTTTTTTTTTTTTTTTTTTTATTGTAAGCCTAGTAGAAAAAACATTTAAGATAAGCAAAATACCTGAGCTATTAATCACAATGGTTCATTTTAATTTTATTTGAAGTAACTTCTAAGCATATAACAAACTTCTAAGTTCATAAATATGTCAATTAAACTTATTCTTCAAAAGATGCTAGGGATTAAATCTAGTTATAAAAACCTTAGGGGTGTTTAAGTTTTACAAATTTTTTTTGGAACATGTATGCAAGCTAAAAAGATGTGTAAAGATTTTATAGCAAAGTGTTGCAGCAGTTATATAGATCTGAAGAGTTTTGTACAACCTCCTTATGGCTGGTAAAATAAATGTAAAAAACATATTGATGTATCTTTACCCAAATAGGGAGGGGTATGGATGGATAAGTCTTTCCTGTACCTCTTTAGTATATCAAATACTAACCATGACACAGCTCCTACATAATTAACAAGTGAAGGTGCTCAGTGAATTTGAGAAACTCAGTCTTTTGTGGAATAAAACCGGAATTGTTCTTTCTCTCAAAATCATGCTTCTTTGTTCAAGGAACCTGTACCAGCTTTCTAGCCATTTCTTCCTTTGTAATATCAGACACAGACTGATCTAAATTGGCTCGGGCAAAAATAACAGTAGTGGAATCTAAATACCAGGTGTGTTTTCCCCACCTTTTGAAGACTGAAGCTGCAGCTACATCAAACTTCTCCAATTGGGCGATTTGTCAGATAAAATCCTGGTCCTGCAATGTTAAAATTCTTATACAATTTGGGTACACTATTTTATTAAATGCTAAAAATGAGTTAAACTATAATTATTTATATTAAAGGCTAACTTGGATTGCAGCTGTATCTGATTTTTCAGCTCTTAGAAAATGAGGAGCATAGAAAATTGAGATAAAAATCGCCATCTTTTCCACCTCGTTAACCTTCTCCTGGCTCAATTTTAGGATTTGCTTGGTCGAATTAAGAAGAAGCATGATCTTTAGATCGTAGATACTCTTTGCCATAAAACAAGCATGATGTACTGCTCCAGGCTTGTGTATGTTGAGAGGCTTGAATGTTGGTTCCAAGAACATGAGAGCTAACTCACCAAGTTTGGTAAGCTGCTCTCTTCTCTCTAAAAAAATTAATATGGATATTTAATTTCATCTATTATTTTTTTGTCTTCAAACTTGAAAATTTAAATGGTTAGAAAAGTTTACCTGAGACTTTTTGAAGACTCCTTCATTCACAATCGGCATTAAACATTTTCTTGCTTTTTTTGCTTGCTTTTTAAACCAAGAATCATAAATAGATTGCCATTTAAAGTGAGTGATGACACAGTTTTTCATATTAATATCAATCCATTTAATTTTCAAGCCTTTAAAGAGTACATTTTCAGGTCCTGTGGTTTTGTCTATGGTAACTGCTAACCAGTAATGTTTTAATATGACTTCTAAAATGATGTCTACAAGCAAGCATCAACAATGGTTTACCAACATCCTTTTGCAGTCTGAAATATTAAGATCATAAATAAATTGTTTATTTTAATAAAAGCTTTTGGAGTCCGTCTTTTAAATTATATTGAAAAACAGTTTACCTGTATATAGCACCACGAATCATTCCAGTATTGCTAGCAGTAGTATCGAAGCAGACCATCCTAACATGATTAGCAATTTTAAACTCTATCAAAATTTCTTTGATAGCCTTGAACTGATTTAGCCCTGTACCTGGAGCACCAAATAGATGATCAGTTCCTCTCACAAGAACACAAATCCGTGATTTGATATCAAGTCCTAGAATTAGGATTAGTTTAACAATGTAAGAAAAACAGTTGTTTTTAATTAAAATACTAGTTAAAAATAAATATATGCAAACCTTGATTAACTTTCCATCAAAGTGTAGCTGAATTTTCACCTTACTCTGTTCGATCTCTTTTCTTATTAGAATCTTAATATTATCAGCATCTTTGTTAATAATATTGTTTTTTATTCGAAAAGCTGAAGCATAAAAAAGGGGTAATTTATTCGAATCACCTCCAGTTGCGGTGACTAGTTTTAACAGGGTTGCTGTAATTTTATGAGCTTTTATATCAATGCCTATTGCTGTTCTCATAGTTTCTTTAATAACTTCTCTGTTGATGACAATGGTTTGTTATTGCATTTTAGAACTTCTTATTGAACAGTAATTGTTTTCTGATTCAGATTCTGAACTTGTTTCTGAAAAAAATGTTTTAGGTAGATGTACACCATCAGTAGCGCACACTTTAAAACCTCTAGAATAAAACAATGATTTTTTGCAAAAACTTGTTGATGCTATAACTTTACTCTGAATCCTACTTCTCCTCTGTTCAATCTCGGCTCTGTGCTTGTCAATAGGTCCAATTGTCATTTTTCTTTCTCCCATTTGATCTTTCAGAAAAAGCAAGTCCTCAGACTTGTTAAAATGAAGTCTGCTTTGATTACTTTGATAAGACATTTCTTTGTGTTACTGAGCCAAAACAGTCCTTGAAAATACTTATATTAACGAAAAAAATAACAATATAAGTAAATATTAGGTTTATTTAATTTCAACTGGAGGAGTGAATCTCAAAGGAGATTATGAATAACTCTTTGAATAAAAAGTAGTTAGTACCACTTACAGTTTTTAAAAAGTCAGTGCGAGATTGCACACATCCTATCTTACACTTATGTTGGTTTTTCTCGAGCTTCAGATATCTGTTAATATATTTTGTTATATTTTTTTACAGGATGTCAGGTCCAATCATAGGGAAACCAGATCTTAGCCATAGAAACCAAAGTGCTCTGTGTACACATTCCTTTTAGCATGTAGTATCTAAAGTACACTAGAAACTGAAAAGTTTAAAGAATTTGTGACGAAAAACTCACTTATCAGACTTTTTTTTTTTCAAAAAAATTTAATTTTACATTTGTTGAAAAAAAAAATATTTTTTTTTTTTTCTCAATGCTATTGAAGTGTTAAATAAAAATGTTTTTTTGTAGGTTTTGGTTCATTTTAAACCAGTTAAAGAATAAATTATAAATTGAACCTGAATTTATTGCTGAGAAGACATCATATAAGACGCTTATTTTGATAACTTGGCCCATTTTTTACTTTAAGCTAAAGAAATGGCTTGATTACATCAGCCCTAGTCGGTAAGTTGCCCCGTTTTTATGCTTCAGCTTTTCGAATAAAAAACAATATTAACAAAGATGCTGATAATATTAAGATTCTAATAAGAAAAGAGATCGAACAGAGTAAGGTGAAAATTCAGCTACACTTCATGGAACACAACTTGACACCAAAAATTGCACCTTGGGATGGGAGCACTTACTTTTCTTCTCCTAATAGAATTCTTTTGCATTTTATAATTTCAGAATCTAAAAATACCTGTCCAAATGGTCCTCATAGTTCAAAAATTGCATTAAATACATTAAAAAATAACATAATCATTAAAAAAAACTAAGCATAAACAGCTTTACGAATGTACTTTAAATAAAAAACCAGCATTAAATTAACTTGAAACCAAAACCAATGAAAAATTTAGATATTGATTTTTGATAAATAAAAAAAGTGTAGATAAAATAATTAAAGTAGTCAATAATTGTTAAAAACTGTCTAATTGCATATTTATATATACCAAATGCAGTTTTTATAATATAAACAAATTCTATCACGAGGTTTTGTAAAACAAATATTATTTGTAAAATACAAAATTTATCATAAGTAAATCAGTTTTTTTAAGCGAAAAACATCTGGTCTTTTGCATGTTTTTGCTTTTTGAAGCAAAAAACATCTGGTTTATTTGCATTGTCCTAATAATAATGATACTTTGCAGTTTTATTATTTGTATACTTTAAAATATGTGGTTTATATTATATAGATTGTAAACGAATCTAATTTTTTATTACTTTAATTAAATTTACTTTTATTAATCATAATTCACTTCTCTATTTCATTCTATATCACAACATTTTTACGATAAAATTAAATAAAAATTATTACACAGTTTTATAAACATGTTGTAGCAAAGTGATTTGCTAAACAAAAACGTTTTTTTTTTGCTCTACCTTCCACCCCCCATCCCCCGTCATGGTTTTCAAAAATCAAGTTGTAGCAAGGTGATACCATAAAGCTAGGGTGCCAATTTTTTTCAAGCATGCTCTAGACATAGCAAGCCGACAAATAAGTCGTATACATGTTTGTATGTATCTTAGATCTACAGAAAATTTCAATTTTGAAAAACTTTGTTTGGATGCAGCAAGGTGAAATTTTTTTTTTGTTTTAAAAATGTCAAAGTATTATCTTAAAATCACTTACGATTAAACATCTTTTTAGCTTGCATACATGTTCCAAAAAAAAAATTTGTAAAATTTGAACACTCCTAAAAAGCATGTTAAAAAACCTTAAACCTAGATATACACTCATATAGCTCTATATATAACCTAGATATAAACTTATATAGCTCTATACCTAGATACCTAGATATAAACTTATATAAACCTAGATATATATATAACTTATATAAACCTAGATATAAACTTATATAGCTCTATATATATAAACTTATATCGCTCTAGATATAAACTTGCAAGCTCTAGATTTAAACCTGCGAGGTCTGGAAATAATAATAAAAAAATAAGCATTTAAAAATTTGTTGCAAGTAATTAAAATTTGCCTGTTTTGCAAGTTAGTTTTTTGCATTAATTTGAAAAAGTTATTAATTTTGGTTCCATTTTTCCTATATAATATCTTGTTTTTTCAAGGTTATTTATTTATCTTTTTATGTGTTGACTAATTCTTTTTCTATCAAAACTCTTAAATTTTAGATTGGATTCAAAGTTGTTTCGGACATTTTTTTCACCAATCCATTAAATTTCTAAGCTATGTTTCTTAACTCAATATTTTGCTGTACCACCATTTTTTTTCAGTCATGCTGACATGTGGGTTGATGGGTCTATGCAATTACATAGCGTTTTTATATAGGTGATTTGGCTTGTGTAAATGCTCCATTGAAATTAAAGCAGTCATTTATACCAATACTTCAATCAGGTACAACAATACTGTTAGCGATTGGTACAACAAAGCGATAAAGCAATTGCTTTTATAAGCAGTTATAATATAACATATTTTTATAAAACGTGAATGTTCATGCAGCTGTTGGAAAGGTGTTAGTAAGTTTGCAGTAATTATACCATTTTTCAGCATTTCTTAAGACTGTTTATATTTGTGGTTTCTAAAGGTTGCGTGACACTTGTTGTTTAAAATGCTTTCCGAGTATTTTAAATGTTTATATGCTTCCCTTCATAACCATTACTGCTTTTCAACATCGTTTTAACTTAAAGATCAAAATATTTGTATTTAATCTTTAAGTTAAAACAATGTATAAGTATTTGAAATCTAAGCTGATCATCCGAACTTATTTTTTACCACCTTATTTTTGCATTTCATTTTCAGTTTTATTTATCTATTTGCATTTTGTTGCAATTTTATTTATTTAATCACATTTCATTTTTTAGTTTTATTTATCCATTTGCATTTAGTAGCAATTTTGTGCATACTTAATATTGTCAAGAAATATTGAATTAAATCAAACAATCATAAATTAATAAAATAGTTGTAATTTTTTTTGTCTGAATTCGTTTCTATTTTTAGTTATTTGTATTTTTTTACTTGATGATTTTATTAAAAGTTCTCTAACCTTATTATTATCTTTTTTTTTAAAGCTATACCTTGAATACTTAGAATTGGAAAAAAGAATTTTAACTGAGTTAAATATGCCAATAACCGTTACTTAATCGACCAAAGAAAAAAGTTTATGTAAAATAGATAAAACTAGAAAATATAAAAGTATTATTTTATAAATTTTTTGAATTGTAAATTATTTTAAAATATAATAATATTATTTTGTTAAATATATATTGTAAGAATAGTTTTTGGTTTAAATATATATATATATATATATATATATATATATATATATATATATATATATATATATATATATATATATATATATATATATATATATATATATATATATATATATATATATATATGTATGTATGTATATGTATATAAATTAGTTTAAAATTTTTTAAATAAATATATTTATAGTAGTTTATAAATATTTTCAATAAATATATATATATATATATATTAGTTTATAAATATTTTCAATAAATATATTTATGTTTTACAAATACTTGTTTACTAAAGCCATCCTAAGTTGGTTTTTAAAAAAATGTAATTCAAAAGGTAGGTGAAAGTATAAAACGGAGAATAAATCCATTCCGTATTGATTAAAATTCAAAATTTAAAGATTTATCAAGAACCAAGGCCTTCTTTATAGAAGGCCTTAACACCGTTCGGGAATTTTTTTGACTGAATGCTGATTAAAAAAAAAAAGTAATACAAAGTTCTTTAAAAAAATTGTTTGCCAGTGTTTGGCATTGTTTCTTTAAAATAGAAAATCTCTATAACTCTGCTATAAATGTTAACTTTTGAATCAGAAATGTTCTGTAAACTCTTTCATCTTGTAAAGAAAAATAAGTAGCAAAATAAAGACCATTGAGATAAAATGCCAGATGGAATAATTAGTCCTCCACTATATAAGGTATTCAAATAAGTTCCATATTTTTCATAGTATGTAGTTGTACAATCTCTAATTTCATCAGTTGAAAACTTTTTAACATAACCAGCAATATAGACAATAGAATATAAAATTTCTGTATTTATGCTATACTCTAGATCTGCTAAATTGTTAATAATATCAATTTTCCTATCATCTAAATATTCAAGACATAAAAGACAGCCATGGCAGTCTTTTCTTTCTACGCCAATACTTAGCTGTAGCACCAGTTTATCATGTTAATTAAGTACTTTTTCAATAACTAATTTAGCCATTATAAAATAAGTAGCACCTATTCCTTGATCTAATTTTCCAAAGCATCAGAAGAAAACCAACCTAAAATGACATATTTCCAATTGATAAAATATGGCAAGACAAATCAATTAGGCCACTACAATTATGTGAAAGTGAACTGCTTTTAAGCCGGCGTACTCGTTTACAAAATGTTGGAGTAAGAACCAATTTTTTAAATTTAACATCATTCGAAGATTTGATTAAATTACGGGACTAATCTAAGATATATTTTTCAAAAATCTATAATCAACTCCAAAAAAATAATAGTACTCTCGACAATTTATTTTAGGATGAGTTTTTAAAACTGCACCAATCTCATCGCTTAATACTTGTAAACAAGTCCTTTCTTTTTGCCATTATATTGGTTTAGGATTATTGATGTTTTAGTCAACTTAGATAATTTTAATAATCTGTTTTTTTTTTCAAGTATATAAGTTAACTAAATCTCTCTTATTTGCAATGTAAGTAGTTTCATATTTTAAAGACTTTTGACCATAAATGAAAGTACAGTAGTAGCTTATTTCTCTGCATAATTAACATAATTTCTCTGGATAATTAAAAGCTTTTCCAACAATATTTTTACTTTGATATAATAAAGCAGCTTTTACATAAATTTCATTTATCTATAAAACACAATTTCTTTTTTTTCTTCAAGTTTTGATAGCGCAGTTCTTAAAAAAATTATATCATCTTGAGAATTTGTTTTTGAAGTCATACGAGCTAAAGTTCAAATACTTGGCAACTAATAATTATTGTAAGTGGAATGATAGGTTGCAAAATATTCGAATACCTCGGTTATTTTATCAGGAGAATAAACAGTACAGCCAACAGAAGAATCTCTTATTATATTTAGATGCTCAAATAAAATTTGAGCTTTATAGTCCTCATCTTTAACTTTTAGATACGTAAGTGCTTCATTTTATGTTGACTTTGTACTAAATGGAGTTGTTCTGTTTTTCAAAAGAGGTTTATCAGTACATTTTAAACCATAATGAAATGCTTCAAACATTAAGGTTTGATTAACTATCAGCAAAATTAGTTTGACTCCATAATTAAATACTTTAGACTGGATAAAAATAGAATTGTTTTGGTTGTAAGTAATGATGTCATTTTCAGAAGGTACGTGTTTTTCAATATCTGGAAATTTTAAATTATCAATTATTTTATACTCTTCTAATTCAACTTTTTTGATACCTATTTTTGAAGAGGATAAAATTTTTCTTATTTTTTATGGTAAAGAGAATTGACAACTTTCAGAGATATTTGGAAACACTGAGGAAGGATTTTAATCGTTCTTAATTTACCACGATATAAAGTAAACTTGTCATCTGGCCAATGCAACTTACAAATAACGCTATATTTTGTCCAGTGTGAGCGAGGGATGAACCACTTGTTTTTCTTTTTTAGATACTTCACGAGGAAATTTGCATAGAGATATTTTACAATCTGAAGATTTTTAACTCAAGCAACAGTTTGATAGACAGTTTTTTAAAGGCATCATAAATTATTTAACTTAAATTTCTTTGGAAACAGCAACTATTATTTTATAACTTTTTTACAGTTTATATTTAAAACTGGCCTTCTAACAAATAAATTACCGCACGGTGTCGAGGCCTTCTATAAAATAGGCCTTGTCAAGAACGCTGAATTTCAATAGTAAACAAAAAAGCATATCAAACGTTTCCCTCGCTGAGCCTATTGTTAAATAAAAAATCAAAATAGTGCATAAAGTTTAATGAACAGGTAAGCTATATATTGAATACTTATTAAATTCCTTTAAAGTGATGCAACTCAAATACAATAATTCATTATTATAACAAATAAAAAGATGAACAAGCGTTCATTTCTGGTATAAAGTATGACCCATATCGAGAACACAAGTTTGGATAGACGATAAATAACTTTTAATTAGTATCGAATATATCTATTTTAAATTGTAATTATCTAATATTAAAATAAAGGTACTTACTTTTTAAAATTAATCTTATTTATGACGTGTCCTTAGAATATTGCGGAAGAAAACTTAAAAAAGTAGAAAAGAGTGTAATACATCAACTTTATTTAAAGCTGTATCAATCTTTATTTAAAGCTGTATATTTGCCGCATTTACAAGAGTACAGCCAAATGGCAACAGAGTAGTTCCTCCTGTTTTTAAAACCATTCTACCAGAGCTGGAACTATTTCATTAATTTTTTTCTAAATGGTCAGCTACATGATCATGTTCAATAACATGGTCAATTACTCCCACATTTATAGTAATTGGATTTTTTTAAAACTCTTTAAAAGAATTATTTTTTTTCAACAATCGCTTTGCTGTATTTGATGATATTAAAAACATTTTAATTTAAATTATTACTTTTAATTGAATCATATTTATCGTTTATCACACAACTATCATATTCATCGTTTACACACAACTATTTACTTACTATCGAAGAGTGGGTAGAAATGAAACGCGGGAGAAGTGGGACACCCCTATAATTTTATTTTGTAGCTGTGCCTAATTACTATTATTTAATGTAAGCGTATTGATTTCATGTGCTCTTTTGTTAGACATCATTTCCCCTTACTGCGCGTGGTTAAAACCCTTTTTTTTGAAAGTACCCGCAAAAAGTACTTTTGCTGACAGCCTAGTAACTCATGTATCTATTTATTTTCGACTGATAAGTGCATTTATTTTCTATTTATTTTCTGCTGATAAGTGCATTTCCCTATAAAATTGAAAAAAGATGCAACATTTTTTTTCAATTTTATAGGGAAATGCACTTATCAGCAGCTAACATTTTATCATTAAGTTATATTTTAGCTTTAACTGTGTGGCTGTAATTTTTCATTTTCCCTACATAGGGGTGAAGCAAGACAGATAAAAAAGTCGCTATCCCACTCCTTAACAGTTTTACGTTATTTTATTGCGGGTGTTTTTAAAATATTTTAGCTACGATTTTTATAGTTTTCAAAATAAAAACATTGATATGTTTAATTGAAATATTTAATTTTAGTTTTAGTTCTTATACAGTTGACTCAAAACGAAATTTGGAAAGAGAGATCTTTATTAAAAATAAATTTGATTTGATTCATCATTATTGTTTCGAACAAATTGAGAGGTCTTTTTACATCAATAATTTAAAAGCATTTGGAAAGCAAAAGGTATGCATAAAAGTTTTTTAATCTTAAATAAAATTATAATTTCATAATAGTCTGATATAAGATATAGTATTAATAGTAACCTTAATACCATTACAAATAATTTTTTTTTTATCAAACCTAATTTCTTTTAAATTTCAAGTCATGCCTAGAGTTTATAAAAGAAAAAGTGAAACTCCACATGTTTCAGAAAACATTTAGAAAGTTGCTGTAGCTGAAGTGGAAAATTGGATAAGCCTTAGAGAAGCAGCATATTCAGCTAGCATTTCTAAGTCTGCACTTCATAGGTGTATAAAAAAAATGTCAGTACCCAGCTGTTAATCTTCAACCAAATTATCAACATTCTATGATTTTCTCTGTTCTGCACAAGAACAAACACTGAGCACTTATCTAAAGACATGTTCTGATATGTTATATTGCCTTAAACCAGTTCAAGTAAGAGCTCTAGCTTTTTAAATGGCTTAAACAAGCAAAATAAAATGCCCCTTGCGTTGGATAGAGAAAAAAATGGCTAGTTAAGATTGGTTGACAGGATTTTTAAAAAGAAACAGTTCTTTTAGATCAAAGATTTTTTTGATTAAACCAGACGCAGTTTCAATTGCGAGAACATCGATATTTAATACTATTGATATTTTCTTTAACAAATTACAAGAAGGTATATCAGAGTCAAAAGCAACATCATTTAAAATTTTTAATCTTGATGAGACAGGTTTTACTACTGTGCAGAAAACTTCTCGTGTAATTCCATCAAAGGGAAAAAAGAACAAAGCAAGTCGGGCAAATAACATCTAGAAAA